AAATTAGAAGGTAAATCCTCTTCTCACACAGAAAGAAAACCATGACCGATAGAATCATGCATGTTTTTATGAATCAATCCAATAAATTGCTGAATAACTAACCGACGTCTGATTTTTTCACTTAAAACTATTGTTTCCTCCTCTATTTCCTCAACACCGTCGTATTCTCTTCTTTTTTTTTCATCACACAAAGTCTCGTAAGCTTTAACAATTTCTTTGAACTTTTCTTCTGCTTCGTCTTTATTACCCAGATTTCTGTCAGGGTGTCACTTCAGAACTAAACTCCGATAAGCAAGAATAATCTCTCTTGTTGAAGCATCAGATTTTACTCCTAAAATTTCGTAATAATTTTTTGTCATAACTATTTTAGATTTGAACGAGGTGTAACTAAAACAGAAGCCCGCAGTTGCTCTCGTTCATTTTGTTGTTGCTCTAATTGCACATCCAATTTAGCTAATTGCTTACATTTCTCACAAGCATCCCGTGAGTTTTTTGCTCCACTATTTTTTTTCAACTCTTTCCTAATTTCTCCAATCTCATTTTCAATCTCATCTTTACTTTGAGTTTCCTTTGCTTGAAAGAATTGCCTATAAAGTCGACGCACCTTTTTTGTTTGTTCCTCATCAACTTCCAAATCATCTAGTTCTCTCTCCAACAACTCAGTCAATTGCTCTCGTAAAGAAACAATTTCTGTGTCTTTCTCTGCCAATTCTCTAATTTTTCCTAAAAGTTGTTCCTGTAATGAATTTAGATCATCCTTTGCCTCTTTTTTTGATTCTCTTAAACTTACCACTTGTGTTTCGTATCCTTTACTTTCCAAACTCTTATTTTTCAGTTCATCATCAACCTTCACCAATTTATTTTCTAATTCATTACCCTTTTCATTTGAATTTTCGTAACACTTACACTCATTCGCTAGCTTTTCTATTTTTTTGAGAAGATCTAACAAAACTTCTTTAGAAACATAAGAAAAATCATAAGTTTCATAAGTGGCGTTTGCCTTATACTTACTCGAAGAAAATCACCCTCCTTTCTGAGTTTCTATCAATTCAGTTCCAATATCCTTCTCATTTACAATAGAGTTTAATTTTTTGTAAAGGAAAGAATTTTCATTTTTAAACTTTTCACCGAAACTGTTTATTTCTTCTTTTATTTGCGTAATATGAAAACATGTCATAATTCCAATTTTTATTTTTATTATATATTTATACAAACTTTTTTTTATTAAAAAAATTTTCTCTTATAATTTTTCCAAATTAAAAAAGTAAAAAAATCCCCACCAATCGAGAGAGCTCTCGTTTCTCTTTCCTCGCTAAAAAAAGCAAATTAACCAGGAAAAAAATACTCCCAAAGCAAAGATACTTCTCACTTCAAACTAATTTACTCATCATAGCATTACTCTTTCTAATTCTTTATGTTATTATACAGATTTTGTTTTTTCTAAAAAAAAATTATAATCCTTTCAAAAAAGCCCGCACGCTTAAATGCTCATCAATCTCCGGTCAGTGAATAGCATAACAGTCAGAGGTAATGCGAAAATTTTGTAATTGCTTAATAGTAGCCTGTCGAGTGCGGGCATACCAAGCCACGGGAATACTTACCTTACGGCCATCATCCAAAAAAGCCACAATCTCCTCTTCATTGCATTCCACTTTCATTATCAAAGGAAAATTTTTTGTTTTTTCTTCTGCGTGATAAATTATTGGTGGCTGATCGTTACTTTTTGGTAATGTGTCCTGTTTTCTTAAATTCATATCAGTTATTTAAAAAGATTTTTCTTTTCCTTTGAGTTATT